CACAGCACATCAACATTTGATGTATGGTAGGTAAAATAAATACATACTTTCAAGTATAACGGAGGGACTATACGGTTAAACTTTAACTGCAACATTCAGTATCTAACCAACCTTTTCTATTATTTGTTCACAGTACAATGCACACAGTTGAATTTCTCCACTACAAGCTCAGTAACTCAAGGAGATGAGAATGGGTTTTCTCTGTATATTAATAAATACTAGAACGCAATATCCAAAGTGTAATTTAGAATAAACTCCACACTAGATGACATCATCAGGGGACTGTTCTCACACATCTTTAATTAAAAGTAAATCTGGAAACCGAAGGTTTATCACTTCTTACAAAATCAAATGTTAAAAAGTTTCAGTAACTGGTTTTAGACATAGGCACCCCCCCGCCCCGATTAAGACACAGTCTATTCTGCACTATTTTTAACTATACTTAAGCAGTTAAACAGCTTTCAGAAATTGCCAGGCACCAGGGTCTTCCTTTCAGGGCAAGGTGTCAGACAAACCAGTCCACTGGCACCATACTAACTTTTGTTTTAGCGATTAGATCTCGTATCACTATATACTGAAAAGAGTTTGGACGTACAGAGCTCTAAAGTAGGACAGTTACTCTCTTAACAAACAGTCGTATTATTTCCCTGATATGCCTTTGATTTCTGTGTTGGACTCAAAGATACTTGTTACCAGCCCTTCAGATTTTGACACCGTAGAGCTGTAACTTAAATTTTTATGAACCAAGCAGAAGCTGCTGCACCAAATATCGTTTATGTAGCACAGTTGTTGTTCTGCTTTTTACGTGAATTATATCTCCTGGTGCCAGGACACAGTAACAAATTAGATATGCTATCTAACGTGAAGACAAGTCCTGGATTTCATGGTCCAGAACAAGGTTCCATTTGCATAAGCCCAAAGGCACAATACAATGCAGTTAATAAGATACTGGGACCTTCCTCCCAGCATTGAAATGGAAACAGCGAAGTAGAAAGTGGAGTGTGATTGTCTTCTGTCCAGGGCAATTTTGCCAGAGAATGGAGGCCTAGGCCTGTGTGTACAAAAATGAAAGCTAAATGAATTTCTAAGTCATTTACGTTCTCACTGGTCACTGGACAAAGAAAAAAAACCTGTTTGGTTTTGATGTAGCTAAATCTAGTTAGAGTCTTGATGCAGCTTGTATATTTTTCTTTCAGAGAGCAAGAAAACGCATTCAATTTGAGAATGTTGGTGTGATCAGAGTAGGTGGGAGACTTCCTAAAAATCAACTTCAGAAAGAAAAAAAAAATATATATATATATAATTATATATATAAATAAAATATAATATATATAATTTAAACAAACCTTTCTCCAGAATTCAGAGACCTTATTAAGTGGGAGGCTAAAATTAATACAAAGATCAGCAGAATTCCCAACTTTCACAAACATTTAATACAGTTGCGTACAGACCATTACTGAGAATTAGTTCCTATTTCCTTTTAGGTAGGTAGAGAGGGAGGAGGGAAAGAAATGGTTCTGCTTAGAAGTAGTGGCCTACGCAGGATACGTGTTCTGTTTGTCTGTGTCTTGGAAACAGTGTATTTGGTACAAGGCATAGCTGCTCCAGAAGGTTGAGCTAATGGGGTTTGGGAGAGGAAGCACAGATTCAGTCGTGCCATTGCTCAGGGTGCTCCCTCTCACATGAGACAGCCATAATTTTGCTAAGAGTACTGAACAAGAGACTGTGCTCCAAGTCAGAGAATAATATGCATTCTGTGAAGGTGTCTAGAGCCTTGGTTAGATTTATGACTTGTACAATAAGACAACTTGGATCATGAAAAATTCTCTAACCCTACCGGAGTTGCTACTGTCTTTGCACCAGCTATTATAATTTGTTCAACCATACCTAATCAAAAGGTTTCTATAAGTAGTCTCCAGTGCTATCTCTTAGCCAACATCCACATAGAAAATCTGTTTTCTCTCTTAGGTCTCTTGTACCATCTGATGCATCTCCCGGCAGTTCTCCTCAGCTGCTTTTCCCCATGCCCCACCATAAGGTCGTCTTTTCCTCAGCTGGTGGTTTGCAATCCTTATCTGCACTTATGAGATGCCTAACTGGATGCAGATATAGGATCACACGGCACATAACCACGTCCAGTCAGAGATGTCTCCGCAGTTCCGCTAGAGGTTAAGTAAATTGCAAACAACGAGGCAAAGGAATACAAACTGCATCCTCCTCCTTCTCATTTCAGTCTCCATTAGAAACACAACAGAGGACTGAATCACTGATAGACATGTACTTTGTGTCTGGAGACTCCAAATGTCAAGCTCTAGAAATATCTCAGTGACACCTACTTTGCGGCAAAAAGTTCAGCTGAGCTTGTCAGCGGCATTTCATTGCATACCGAGTGCTTTGGCAATCCAGTGCTTATAAAAGGCACTGCATTTTCGAGTAAGCAGCTACACAATAACTTGTTTCTATTTTCAGGTGCGCAATGGGCACCAATATTGCAGTGCATCTTTTGGTGCTCAGGAGAAATTACCATATGAAAAACTGATGTGAAATGATACTTCTGCCTCTCGGCACAGAGTTCCTCCCCTCTCTGTTAAGGCCACTGACTTTTTTCCCCCCGAAAGGTACCCTTTGAAGGACTAAAAATTTATACAAGGTATTCTCTAACAGAAACCTATTGCCATAAATAAGGTATTCCATGTGACACACAATAATTTCAGATAAAACAATTAGAGTAATCCAAACATTATCCAAACAAAATCCAAACGTTATAAAAATAGCTTCAGAAACCTACTACTGGTGAGTGACATAGGTGAATTAAAAAGTCAAAAGAGGTGGCCCATCATATTATACGGTAGATATTTTTATTTTCTTACTCATGTAGGGGGTTGGCCTGCCAGCTCTGGCTTACACAGTGACATGGCTTGCCCTGAAGCAAATTAATATTGCCCTAATGGAACTCATTCCTATCTCGATCTCTGAAGAACAGGCACATGATAGCGCGTTTGGTCACCAGTGCCAACACTGTGGGCTATTTGGGTACAGCATTCTCTGAGCGTAGCCCTGCACGTTATCATCCTGAAAATAACTCTACAGTTTCAGGCTCCTTATCTGTGCAAATATGTATGTCAGCACCCGCCTCCAGCAAGCACATACAGACTTGCCCCAAAGCAGCAAAGCATTACTTTGAAATAGAGTTAGCTATCTCATTGACAATTTCTGTATAGCTAGCCTCTCCTTTTGTGCATAATTTTTCACTCGGAATCTGCTCTGAAAAGTGATTGTATAAATAGCATTATAAGTAACTCGTGTACATCTCTTACTGTCTCCCAAAGATGCTTAAAGACAGCTTTTCTAATCATCAACTCTAAAACTCCAACATAGGATCTTTTCTTATTGCATATCTTCCTGCAGATAAAGGCTTGTAGGTCTAATCACATTGCAATTACACTCTACTGTCTTAGGGTAATCAGCAGATGTGAAACTAATTGCCTGTGCAACTGGAGGCAAAGGTCTGCAGATTTGGTTTTAATGCACAGAACGGTATAAAGCTCTTGCACGTTTCATCTCGCTTACGCTGGACACGTGTGTTTTTGTCACCCAGATGAATCCTGCGACTGAGTCACAAAAGAGCCCAGAAGATGAGCGCTTTAAAGCCATCTTTCACTTTACCGTATGTTTCTTAGGATTCACAAAAGGCTATTTAGCCAAGTATGACTGTAAAATGTACAGCACAACGTCCGATTACTACAGTTATTTAATTAAGGGATATTGATAGCGTTTACAGTTCAAAAGGCTGCACGTTTTACCCTACCAGCCACCAGGTGGAGACGTTTACAACAGATTAGTCTAAACACTAGTGGCTGCTGTGAATAGGCACACCTGTTTACCGCAGGCTGGAGCTGTTAGCACCAGTAGTTACCAACTCTTTCTGATGTAATGCTGGTGTTAGAGGTTAACACAGGGAACTGCTGTATCAGGTGGTGCTTTCTCCAGCTAAGAATCACATGCGGTATACAAAGTGTGCTAGAACAGCACTTTCCTGCCAAGTCAGTGTCAGATTCAAAGGGACGTTCTGTACCACGACGACCGATCGTACCAGTGGAGGAGAACCATTTCACGTCTGTTCTGAGGCACATCTGAGTTACTGATCGTACCAGTGGAGGAGAACCATTTCACGTCTGTTCTGAGGCACATCTGAGTTGCTGGAATCTATTTACACTTTCTTTTGATAAAGAGACTTAATGTGATATCGATGTCTTGGTGGTGGAACACACCCATTTTCACAATTGTAGAAGTTCTTATTCCTATTCTTTTTTCCCTTAATTAAAAAGAAGGCCGGGGGGAGGAAACGAATTAATACAGAAACAGAAACTCCTGTTTCCGTAATTGATTCATTCTGTGGCCTGGAGAAAAATACTTAAACTTCTCTGTTTTTCCAGCAATGAAATAGAGATGATACTAAGCTGCTGTTCTTAGATTAGTTGGAAGGAGTATCATTTTTCCTTTGAGGTTTAGAAATGGTAGTTATTAATATTGCTATTTCCTTCTCCTACTCTTAAATAGAAGCAATAGGACATATGGCGATGTTATCTGTTTCTGTCCAAACTTCTTTCCTCTGCCCCCCTTGAACTCTCTAAGGTAGATAGGTAGCCATCACTGAGCATCACCAAATATAGTTAATATATTATTAACTATATTAACAACCTAACAAGGTCGTTCAGATTCTTAACTGTCTTGTATAGAAGAAGCCTAAAAGGAATGCAGTGTTACAAAATGTGAGAACAGTATTAATAACATTGCAAGATAAAACATAAACTTAGTTCTGCGGAAGATGCCGGACTTGCATGCCCCTGTTTATCCTGCAGTAGACATTAACGCATACTTAGGGCTAAACAAGTACCAGCAGTTCAAGGGAATGATTCCTGACCAGTTGTGTTTGGTAGAAGAGCTGAGGGATTGACTAGGCACCTGATTTTACCGCTCTGAGCTGTGATAATCCTCAAGAGCCCCAACAGAACTTGAGGAAAATTTACCCAGGTCTTTGCTTGTAGTAGAGATAGCTTTGAATTGTGACCATATTCACAGGAGATTGTATAATATAGGAAAAAAACCTCATCCCCTGCTAGAAACTGCCTTGGTCACTGCCTTGTTAATAATAAAACACTGTCAGTAAGCCAGATTTTAGTTCATCTAACATACAGCCTCTTTATTCCACCCAGTACAGGTTTTCTTAATCAAAATGCCATGTGACATTAAGTCAACTAGTCCCATAGTTCTGCCAAAAAAGGACATCACGTTTGTTTAACAAAACCTACCCTCCGTGAAACCGTACTGACTGGCGCTGACTATATTTTTAGCCTCTAATTCTTTGTTGACAGAGTCTTGAATTAACTGTCCTGTGACTTTTACCAGAACTGACATCAAGCAAACAGTTCAGTAGTTTTCTGGGTCTCCTTTTTACCCTTTTTAAATATTGAAACTGTACTGGCAACACTACAAACCGGTAATATCTTCCCATTTTTTTCAGGTTTTGTTAGAAGTTACCACTAATGGTTCTGAGAGCAATTCCAGAAGGTAGTTAGTGAAATTAGAAGTAGCTGACCGAGACTGAGTTGTGTTGTTTCCCCCACCTTCCACTTTTGCCTATGTTTTGAATTTCACTGTTATTTAGTCATAAGTGAAAAGCAATACATGAAGAGCAGAGAATTAGATTTAATGCACTTGTGTTTAATTTTTTGGCTTTACATTGAAACAACTGTAATTTCACTAACCGAGATTATAAATAGTCTATAAATAGGAAACAGCAGTCCAGGATATTAATGCAGTGGGGCTATACAGCATTTGGGAAAAAATAAAGGGCTAAAGATCTTTGTTCCATAGCCTAATTAAACCCAGGACATTAGTGAGAATAAATTAAACTTCTGTAATATGCAGTGGTCTGCGCATTGGCAACCAAAATAGGCAACTACTAAGAGCTGACTATAAAGGGCTATGCAATATATATTACATGTAATGCACAAGAGGCATTATTTATGCTACAAGACCTAGACACCATGCTGCAAATTCTTCAGTGGCATCTACTGGCACTTCAGCCATTGCATTCATAACGGCAATCTCCCCTTCATACCATTCTTTGAAGAACAGCATATTTGTTCTTCATGAACAAAACCCACCACCATCTGGTGCTATTTAACACACCTGGCAGTTACTGACCAAGCACTTACAGAGCTGCCAATCTCATTATATTTTATAACTAGTGACACAATATTTGTTATATTTTTTGTAGTCCCAGAACTCAGATTTAGCTGATCTCATAAGAATCAAAAAACTTTCATGAATAAAAAAAGGAGTCAAAACTGGAAAGACCACCCACCCTTTGAGACCTGTGGTTCCAAAAAAGCCAGTCCAACACAAATACCCTCCCTCAACGAGCTTAACAAACAAACAAACAAAAGCAGCTATCACAATTTTTAAGACAATTTCAAAATTTGGGTCCCTTACTTGATTATTGAGCACTAACAACTGATAAATCATGTGATGCAAATTCTGCAACTCCTTCTCCCAGGCATAGTCCTGCAAGATCATCTTGAAGACACCTGAGGCAGAAAAGAATGGAGAATGTTCATTTCTGTTCATTGTGGTATATTTTCCTAGTAGATAAATCAAATGCAGTAATCTCCATTTTTAATTAAGCCAAACATACTCACAAACAGTGAAGTCACAAGGTTCTAGATTTTACAGTTTAAAGTCTTGCATTGTAACTGTAATAACACATACCTAGTTGGTAGGAAACCTCTTGTGTTTATTGAAAGGCACAAACCTTTCTGTGTTGCTGAATGTTATGATAAGAATAACTGCAAGAAACAGTTCCTCTGCACACTCTTCTATGCTAAACTCACAGTGCATATTTCTCAATACCTGCACCACATATTGAAAGCAGGAATTGAGAAGGTCAGGAACTTTAATATGTACAAGGCTTATGGTTTCTTTTAATCAAAGGAACAAAACCTGCACAATATCAGAAAGACGCACAAAAGAAAAATCAGGGAAAAGAAACATGTCTGGAAGACCAGGATGCATGCTAAATTACAAATTGCTTAAGTGAAGTTGAGTTAGACCTTGCAAATGACATGAAAATGAAAGATTTAAAATAAAATGTTCTGTAGCCGTTAAAATATATATAAATATTTGTTAGAGGACATATAGACTTGTCATATCACTGTTTCTCAACCTCTGGTCCATTAGGGGTCCCCAGGATTATCAGTAAATAGTCTCAAAGTGATTACAGAGGAAAACAAACTCATGTCCACATTCCCACACTCTTATGCAAATAAATGAGTAAAATGGGGGAAAGCAGAGCAACAAATTGAACCATTTAAGCTAATTTTTAGCTGGCTGTAAATGCAAAAACACTGCATGAACTGGGTTTTGGCTTTTTTTTTTTTTTTTTTTCCAAAAAAAGACTAGTAGGTAGGGATTACCTTTTAAAAGGCTGAAAGTCTCTTTCCATTGTGCAAGCATGGAATTAAAGCTAAATATGACACAGATACAGCTCAAAAAAGTAATTGCTGATGTGATGCAATGAGCAAAAAGCAAAACCAACCTTTGGCACGTTAAAAGCAGCTTTCCATTAAAACAATAGAAGCATTAGTATCATTGTACTGACCTCGTGAGACTTCATTTGTGCACAATTTTGATCATCTAAACTCAAGAAAAATATGTTCCAAAACATGAAAGCATGTGCAGAGGAAGGCTTTGAGAAAGATCACAGAAGGAATCAGCTTATTTATGCTGGAAAAATTAGTAAAAAGAAAAACAAACAAAACATACAGGGAGCCAATCAGCTGGGTACCAGACACAACCCTGAGCTGGTCATTCAGGGGGTGATAGGCTTCTTAGGTAATTTCTAGGAATAATTTTTTTAAAGATTGCTCTAACTTGTAAGAAACAGATGAATCTGAAAAATTGACAGCTTGCATTTGCATATCACCAGATGCAAAGCTACTCAACTGAAGGAAAGAAATCTGTCTTTAAGACAGAGGATAATAACAAGAATATTGACAGGCAATGAAGGAAGCTAAAGAAGATCCCTTTAAAAGAGTTGTGGCATAGATATGTATTTATGCCTAAAATCAGCAATGAACTTTTCACTTCTTTCTGACTCAACAGTTATGAATATTACCACAGTATGCGTCACATTCACCCCAGATGAAGTTCTCTTCAGAAAAAAATCTGTATACTCTGAACAAGGTATGGGTCAGGTCTCACATGTCATGGAGACGTGGCCTGGAAGACCAGGCATACACACAGCTCAAAACTAGAGACTTCAATCATTTCAGCAAAAAGAGGCCTGCTGTAGCGTAGGTTTTACCTAATATATATGAAAAACCAGAAGGAGACATCCTCCGTTCAGTCAGAATCGATGTCAGGAAATCACATTCAGATGAGAGAATTTTGCCTGCACAAGAACTGTAACATTTGACAGTAAAAAATAACTAATGGCATTCTTTGCTCTCAGTTCTCCTTTTCTCAGTTCTGCTGGTTTGCACACTGAAGGCATTTTCAACTTTAATGCAAGAAGCACGAACACCTCTGTATCTCACTAGGAATTTCCTTGGCTAAACAATGAACATAGGGTGAAACAGCATTCCCTTTTTTGAAAGAAAGGCTATCTTTCATTCTCAAAGATGTTTCAGTGGAAAAAATTATTCCAAGAATTACCTTAGAAGATTTGCACTGCAAGAATGAAATAATCTGGCAAAGAGCAGTGACTCCCATATGATTTAAGCATCATTAGGATTAAATATTAAGTAGAAATAACTAGAACTGTACAACTGTCCTGTATATTACCTAGATATCGCCCTTATGCAACACAAATCTAAATAAATCTGAAAACAGTGACTCATACCCATCTCCTGTGCACTAAATCCAATGGCATGTAACCCCATTGTTCAAACTTTAATAATTCCATTCAGAGCTATCTTTTGTTCCTCTGCTTTGTGAGTCAACCCACTTTAATACCCAGAGCGGCTGTTAAAACTATTAAAGCTTCTGAATTCTGCGTGGCTCATCTTATTGCGAAAGCTATTACACAACATAGCAGCTCTTTTCATGGTACACGCTGATTATGAATGGATACCTTGCTGTTGCTGCTTTGTCAAATCAAGACCATCAAGATGTTTTAACTCAAAGGATATGTCCAAGTTAACAGGTACATATTCACGGGCCACAGCCAGTACTACACCATTTCACTTAGCCTCTGCATATGATGTACTTTGGCACCTTTGGTTGCTTAAGGAAGATTATTTTCTTTGCAAAGCAGAACGTTAGCATAGCATTTAATGTTAATCTTATCAATCAACACAGCCATCTTTTTAGCAAGGACAGACCTAAAAATCGATCCAGCATCATAAAAACATGTGGCTATTTCTATTAAAATAAAAGCTTATTTTGAGATGCAATTCAGGACAGCGACTGCTATCCAAGATTTCTCCATTCTGTTCTCAGCCCTGGACCGTGGGCAAGATGTTTTACCCCTTTGTGACCCAGGTTCTTTACTGCTTTGCCAAGAACAGCAAAAACAACTTGAAAATCTAATAATTAACGTTTTCAAGGTATCGCAAAAGCAAAGCACTCCTGTCTGCAACCACCTCAAGGGAAAGTGTAGAGAAGACAGAGCCTGACTTCCTTTGGAATACACAGTCCTAGGGCAAGAGGCAACAGACAAGTCGGAACACTGGAAACTCCAATCATATATAAATAAAATATTTTCCACGATGAGGATGGCCAAAGAATGGCACAGGTTGTCCAGAGCGTGTGGAAGCTCCATCACTGGAGATAATCAGACCTAGACTGGACTAGGCCCTGAGGAAACTGATCCAACTGAACCTGTTTTGAGCAGGAGGTTGGACTAGGGGGCCTGCAGAGGTCCCTTCCAGCCTGAACTATTATTCTTTGACAATTATTCCATTATTCTTAGATGAAAATTCCAGAAACTAAAAGAGTAGAAAAAGTTTGTGTCAACACTCTGTCTCTCTCCTGTCCTCAGGCCTTTTTCCTATATTTTTGCCAAATCCCAAACCTCTTTACCTTCTCCAGGAACACCTCCAGGGCGATTTAAACTTCTTTGCGTTAACCATAATTAATTAATTACCTTTTGAATAGCGTAGGTTGTTTTCCCATTTCATCTCATCAGGTAGTACGCTGAATATAAAGTTAAGCAGGAATCCAGACTTTCTGCAAACAGCCCAAATGAAAGCCATAGGCCCAAGGACACTCATACTTTGAGGCATAAGAAACCCAAATATGGTATTAAATGTTGTGAGTTGGGCCAATCTGTGCTCTTGTATTGGAATTATGCTAATAGCTGGTGAGAAGTTCTAACTCAGCCATTTTACTGTATGCATTTTAGGTGTTATTTGCCACTAGAGATGTTTTAATTACTTTTTAAACCTGATTAAACAATAATTAAAATAATAATAAAAAAAGACTCACTTCATTAAACACAAGAGAAGACAGAATTTGTTGGTTAGCTTGGATGAACATGCACTGTTCATTTAATTTCCTCACACTTTCACTGCTTTCAACTGATGCATTTACATTAACATAGTCTCCATTGTCTCTCAGTTTCTAGAGCTTTTACCTATTATATAATGCATTTCATCTAGAGATTTCAAAGCACATTTTATTCATGGAGAGATTGAACAAAAAAGCAGTCAAAGAACTTGCCAAAGTCACAATTTGCAGTTCGTTGTTAAAACAGAACTTAGTACACCCAGTTCCCTGCTACTCGGCCCGCTCATTCTCTTACCCACCGCAACAACCTGGGAAAACTTCTGGCTGGGAGGGGGGAGGAAAAAAAGCCACCACCTTTCTCCGTTTTCAAGGGGTTATCCAGCTTTCAAGGGACTGTAGTCTCCAAAAACTTGTATGTTATCCCGTTAGCTGCAGTAGAGTTTGGCACTCCCCTAGAAACACTCTGGCTACCTCTTCTCATCTGCAGGCAGAATGTTTCCCAACCTATCCCTGGGGAGGTATCCTTTCACAAGTCGCCTATACTACTCTCGCTGGTAAGGTCACAGTTTCATTTGTATTTCTTTACAACAGTAAAGTTCACTGTACATCTAGCAACATTGTAAAGCGGTAAACAGTTCCTCAACAAAATTCAAGAGAAAGTTGGTGAAATTAACTGGATGTGAAAACACAAAGCACGTTACCAGCAGCTAATAAAGACAGATTATCTGAATTTACATATTCAAAGCAGCACTATGACTACTGAGGAAGAGAAAGAACTGGGAGCGTTCCCAAAAATTCACTAGATCCTTTTCATTCCAAAATGAGATAAATTTCTCACGCATATCTACATCATGAGCTCTGTAAACAGAAAGGACATATCTCTGCTTTCCATGCTCTTCAACATGCCTAGCATATTTTTTCTTCCCATTTACCGCAGCTCATTAAAACACAAGACAAGAAACATTCAGGGCAAACACCAGGGGAATTAACAGAGAGGTTTTCTCTTTCCAGTTTCCATCTGTGCTTTTCTTTCCTTTCAAGCTCATTCTGCAGTTGGAGTTAACTTTGCCTGAGGTTAGAG